GATGACAATTACGTCTCTCTACTAGTCCCTTTTTATTTCATGATATCGGAGAGATAGAGGAGATTGAGAGAGTGCGACAGAAAAGGGAAGGGGGGCAGAAAGGGAGAGAGAGAGAGAGAGAGAGAGAGAGAGAGAGAGAGAGAGAGAGAGAGAGAGAGAGAGAGAGAGAACAGAGAGAGCTCTTCTTTCTTTCTCTTTTTATTTCATTCTAGATCCCTTTCTTCGAGATCAGGAAAGAGAAGTTCTACTTTTTAGTTAATGTTTTCTCCATACGTAATGAAAACAGAAAATACACGGTGTGTCTCGTTCATGTTCATTTAGAAATTCTATTGGTTGCTTTCTGCATTTCAATTATTTTCATGTTGCTTTCTCAAGCTGTATCACAGCTTATTTCTTTCCTAGTTTGGGCACTTATTTATAACGAGAAGACCCGAAAAAACACCCGAAAAGACCCAAAAAAGACCCGAAAAGACCCGTCTTTTCCTATAAAATTAATTAATTAATGTTGTTTCAGTGGATTAATGGTTTCTGAATGGGATTTCAATCCGTAAAAGTCAAGTGGCCTTTGTAGAGCCTTCTTTTATCGTGTTTTTCAATCCTCTCGGGCGGGCGGAGGGAGTGTTCTCTGCCAACAAAAGACTGCTCTTTTATTTGCTTCCAGTCCCTATATTCTGTCTAATATGGATATAAATCTCACGACATAAATGTCTACTTCGTGAATGTAATAATCTTTAAAAATTTTAATGAACTGTGTGTTCAAATACCATGTTTGTACCCTGAAGGCACACTGGATTTGACTGAAATAAAAGTAAACTTTGTTTGTTTTGATGCAAGGTTAGACATTAATATCGTGAGAGTTATGTCCATAAGATCGACACTCATTAATGGTAATTTTGCCATTGAAAGTTTCAGTGTCCACGACAGTATTGTTTTCTGAAAAAACGTAAAAGCTTGTGAAGCTTCATGCAATATTTTGAGGCTGTTGTTTCGTTTTGGGTTTGAATGCCTCGTATTCCTTCTTCTGTGCTGAGGTTTTAGGAAATGCTGATGATTTGCTCATACCTATTATGTGTCCGTTCATTACAGGTTTATTCTTCGAGGAGTTTGACTAACGACACCAATGCTCATCAATCGGTTGATTTTCGAGGGCTTCACTGCGTCTTGGAGATGCTAGAGTTTGAGAGTATGTTCTGGAAAAGAACATGAGTGAAAAAGAACGTAGCGAGACGACTGCAGCTATGCTGAAAACGACATGGTCCCACTTTATTTTAGTAACTCATTTATATTTTGTTATTTTGTTACAATAATAAACATGTTACATTGTACAATGCTTTCATTAACCTCATTCTGCCAGGAATCATATCTTTTAAATCATTTTCTATTTATATATAATAGCTTTATTTACTTCAGTCGCTAAAATGTTTTCAATATTTTTTTTTTCTTTTGTTGAATATTTTATATTTTTGTACTTGTTTCCAAAAGCATTGCTCTTCTGTTCCAGACTTTGAAGACACTTTACGTTGCGCCTTTCTGTAGACTCTTCAAACAGGAACGCTTCAAATGACGAGACACATTATATATCTACCATAGTTCATGTGTGCATTCGTTTGTATATGGGTTGTGTGTGTGTCTGTGTCTGTGTCTGTGTGCACGTCTGTGAGTGTGTGTGTAGTCTGTAAGATCACTAAAATGAAAGGATAAATAGAACAACATTCACTTTGTCTGGTTTGATGAAACAGCTGTTTTATTGTCCCAGAGGGAAATTTTTCTTTGCTGTACAGGACCGTAAAAGTAAAAGCACATGCAGGTATACGTAAAAATTTTAATTATATATATATATATGTATATATATATATATATATATATATATATATATATATATATATATATATTACTCTCATTAAAATTCAACATGAAAAAAGAAGTAAAACTCACTATATATCACATCATTCAACCACATGCAGGAATTTAATTACAAGACTTTTAGAGGTATGTAGATATCTACCTGAAAAAGCAATACACATTCATATTTATTCTGACAATAGCCTTATACTAGTTGGTAAAAAAAGACTTTTTATGTATCTTTCTTTCTTTGTTTTTAGAGGTACATATCTGCCGCTGCGTGGTCCTACAATTTGTGTGGAACGGGGGGTGTGATGTGTCGTTTATAGAGCTTTTTATCTTTTTTATACTTGTGATCTGAAATATTTAATCAATTCTAGTAAAATGATATCAGAGATCTTGCTCGTTTTCTCATAGTTCTGTCAATTTTTTCTTTATCTTTCACCCTACAATGAAAGATTTTTTAAAAACCCAGAAAATTAATGATTTACAAGTACAGCGGCAGCAGGCTATAGTAAATATCCCAATAAATGAAGACTGTAGCCTGCTTCTGAATCAAGGTGCAAGTATCCTAGTGGTACAGGGATGTGTATGCATGTATGTATGGATGTGTGTGTATGTGTATATGTGTGTGTGTGTTTTTGTTTGTGTGTGTGTGTGTGTGTGTGCATGTCTGTGTGTGTGTTTGCATGTGTAATTTTATGTAGTGTGAGTGTTGAGTGCGTGTGAGTGTGTGTGTGTGTGTGTTTGTGTGTGTGTGTGTGTGTGTGTGTGTGTGTGTGTGTGTGTGTGTGTGTGTGTGTATACGTGCGTTTTAGTGCTTATTTAAACCTGTATGTATAAGGTGATTTACGTAGAGTTATTTTTTAAAGTAAAGCCTATACTCAGTTGTGAATTTAATTTTTACAGTTTTGTACCACTGTCGTTTCATTAATCTACGCAGTTTTTAATATTATCTACATTCCTTAACTTTCTATGTATAATGTATTCGTGCCTTTCTTATATATATATATATATATATATATATATATATATATATATATATATATATATATAAATATATATATATATATATGCATAAAAAATGTTACAGGTTTACTTTTATAGCTGTGTACAATACCATTTTTTGTAGTTTGTTATATTGCTAAATAGTTACGAATAAAAACAGAAAAGCAGCTGAACAGGATGAAGATAGCTGTGACATTGTATGGTTTACTTACTTTTCAAACTTTGTTTTCTGTAGCCTACGCTTGTTTTGTTGACATATTGTTTTACCTTTTTTTTGGTAGAATTCTTGAAACAGTAAAATATCAAGCTTTAAAGCTGATTAATGGTTGTCAAATCAATACAGAAACATTCATTTGATGGAGATACTTCTGGATTTTGTTTTAGTTTTTTGAGGGGGGGGGGGGTTGTTGTTGTTTTGGTTTGGGTTTTGGGTTTGTTTGTTTTTTGGGGGGGGGTGTCTTAATTATTCCCAAAGCCTTACTGAACACAAACAAACGTAAACATGATATGCTTAATTTTTTTTAAAAACGTCCTATGGTTTGCCCCGTTCTATCTCTGCGTGAAGCTCCGTACCATTTGTGTTTTAAATGAAACCAAACTGTACGCAGGAACAAAATGTAGGTATCTTTACGCCCCCATCGACATAATTTTGATCATTTAGGAAGCTGGCTTCCGATCGTGCTTGTCACTGTCAAGGTCCAACCTGGACTAAAGGGGATACGGCTCGTAGCAGAAAGACAGAGATAAATGATAAAGAATTCTCCCCACTCGGGAATCGAATTCGGGTCTCCTGCGTGTGATAGCGAAGCGTTTAACCACTATGCCACAGACACCGGTCCACTCTTTGTCTTTTCAAAGTAACCAAACTTTAAGCTCAGACAGAACTCTTATTAACTTTCGTCCGCCAGCTGATAAAATGTACTACTACTAAGCCCAAAGTGTTGATTTTTTATATTTTTTAAAACCAGTTTCTTAATCTGTGGGATTAGTTGCATTTATGTTCAATAAATATTTTGTTGAATGTCCAAAATTCTAAATGTTGAAAAATAAATCCCAAAAAAATACACAAGTCAACTTTTAAAAGAATGAAAGAGGCTTTTTTTTTTTTCCTTTTCCTGTAAAATTTTGCTTTCTGGGCTTAGTACAAAGTAACATCCTTTAGTGTTAGTGAGCGTGTTATGGCACTTGCGACACAATTAGGTTATATAAGTGCCCAAGATAAGGGGCGTTACAAGAGAGCAACGAACACAAAAAAAGGAGGGAGAGAAGGACGATAGATGTTTGATAGGAAAGAAAAAGCAAACCACACCAGAGCTCACGCCAACCACCCACTTAGTGAGAGTGTTACGGCACTTGCAACACAATTAGGACATATAAGTGCCGGAGATTAGGGGTATTACAAGAGTGTAACGAACACATAAAAGGAGGGAGTATAAGGATGATACGATAGGAAAGATGGAGCAAACCACTCCAGAGCACCCGCCAACCACCAACTTTCCTGATCCAGCAACCATAAGTAATAAAGTTGATTAAAAATAATGCAGCCAGAAAGTTTTGGAAAAGTATGGTAGCCCACATGTTCTTCAAAAGTGATCACCTGGTTTTCCTCTTGTCAAAGGGAACACAACCCCATAAGATTTTTATTGTTTCATAAATATACAACAATTAATTGTTAAGTTTCTTCCCTTATTCGATCCATCAGCTCTTGATTCATCAATTTTTTCAGTGTTAAAAATAATTCACAAGCATTCTCTTTCCCTGTTTCCCCTTGAACATTTCAAGTTTTAGTTTTAATAGAGTTTAATGGCACTTGCAACGCAGTAAGGTCAGATGTGCAAGTGCTAGATTAGAGGTGTTACACAAAGAAAAAGGGAGACAATTCAATTCACAACAACAAAATTACTATTAAACTTTACATGTCTTATGCCCCCATCAGCACGATTTAGATCAATGAGGACGCGGGCTTCTGATCTTGTCTGTCACGGCCAACCCTGACTGAGAGGGAGAACTGAGTTAGATTCTAGAGTGGCCTCTCAGCAGAAAAACCCTGAGACACTCAATATAAATTCTCCCTACTCTTTCTTTGTTTTTGTAAAGTGTTTTACGGCACTCGCAACTGCATAAGGTCATATGAGCGCGCGGGACACACCTAATATTTTCAGTTGGTAGGAAATTTTGAATTTTGCCCGGGTGGCGGCCGAAGCCTACTCTTATCGATTTTAGAACACCAAGGGATCTTTAACGTGCGCAACTTGCACACGGGCCCTCCGAGATTTTTCGCCCTGGTCTGAGAGGGCTAGGTGTAGATCTTTCCTACCAAGTGATCAGGGGTGTGGCAGAAAGACAGCAGTAAGGAGGAGCCAAGGAGTAGCAGTAGAAAGGCTGCAGAAAGAGTCAGGAAGCCCAGAGGAGGAGGCAAAGGAGGTGAGGGGGTGGGGGCAGAAAGTGGAAATGAAAGCAGACTAGAGAACATTGCTAGAGAGCAGGAAAGGAGGTGAAAGGAGACAATTTTAGAGAAGAAAATTTTTCGGTCACTACCCGAATTCGAACCCGGGACCTTTGAATGAGAGGCCAACACCTTAACCTCTAGGCCACGAGAGCTCCCCCTTCCCACTCTGGAATCGAACTCAGGTCTCCTGCATGTGACAGCAGAGCCCCTAACTGCTACACCACAGGCACCGGTTGTGGAGGAGAGATAAGGACAGTAGATGTTTGACAGGAAAGAAGGAGCAAACCACACTAAAGCATCCGCCAACCACCCACTGAGCATAATTTCAATATTTATAAATATTTCCTCACTCACACCATGACCCAGAGGTTAAAACTCAACAATCAAAAGAAATACAAACACAATATTGTATACATGTATGCAGTCATTTTAATTGCTTGAAAATTGGACAAAAGGCTAGTTTTGTTTCCTAAGGACATAGAATGAAAATGTAAAGAATTTGACATAACTGTAACAAAACAAAAATGTACATCTCTTCAAGACTACTAACAGTAACAGGTTTCAGTTTTTATTCTCTCCTAACTCCTTAAACAAGTTTCACTCTGGAATCAAAGCAACAGCAACTTTAAATGCTATCCAGCTGTGTAATTCTAGTAACTGGCGGCAACTGGTTAGCAGATTCAAAGACTGCGATAAGTCGCATCATTTTAGAAAAAAACGTTTTTACATCTCACTCATATGCAGTGTCTTCCAACTTTCACATTCAAACTAGATATTGCACGCATTTCAATGCTGAAACTATTTCGTATTCATTTTTCTTCTACTCTGTACACGCGGCCCAAAGCCAAACCCCAAGAACTCACTTTTTCTGCATTTTCTTTCTCCAGTCTGCAATTTTATCAGGCCAATAATATCTACATGTAGCACGCTGATGTACAGAAATGACCTGCAGACAACTTTACTCTCAGTAGGAATTCATAGAAATATCAAAATTTAATCCAGGCAACCATTAGATCTAAATTCATACAAATAGATCGTGTACACACACAACCACGATGGAGCCAATGGAAATGATTTCACTCATGTAAAGAAGATAATACTTGGGGGAACCAATCATGTTGATTTTATGTAAAGATATTAGCAACAAAAAAAAAAAAAAGGTCACCACAGCCAGTTGTTGTTCTTTGTAAAACAGTACACATGTGTATAACAAACAAACATAACAAAATGTAAATAGCACAGAAACAACACAAGCACATCAAGTGGCGGCACTCTAATGCACCGCAGCTTAGACGCTGAACCAGCACTGAATCTTCCTCTATAGATGTTGTTCTCCATGAAATTAAGTTTGCCCTTAGTCTTTTATTAAGTTGATCTGGCACATAACAATGCTGACAAGCCTCAGCACAAGTATTTCCATAGTTTCTTATCATGCACCAGTCATGGTAAGGTCACATGGACACCCCCACACACACAGCCAATGCTCGCAGCAACGAGTTGTGCCCAAGGATATGAAGCATGTCATTTGAGCTTTTAAGATGGAAATTGTGAACGGTGACTTTTTCACCCCCTCAATCACTCACCAAAAATTTGAAAACAATGATGATGTCTCTCTCTCTCTCTCTCTCTTTCTTTCTCTCTGTGCTACAATGAGATTTCTGTGTCCTGCCTTGTGTTGAACCAGTGAACAACCCATTTTAAAAAGTGTTAGGGCCATAGTTTGGCTCTAAAACAGAAGTTACTTTAGAATACTATTATTATCAAAATTATTACGAAAATCTTGTCTTACAAATCAGTTCATAGCATTTCTCTAACAAATACAACTTTTTCAGAATCATGTTTCCTACTTTGCTATTTAAGGGTACATTGTACTCTTCAGTCTTTTATCCGATTTCAAGCATTCACAGCCATTCCAAGTTTAAAAAACCCTTTGGAGAAACTGAACTTTGTGACCAGTCACAACTTTTCAGGAAAATAATCCAATTGGTTTACAGTTATTCCCAAAAAAATTTGAATGAATGAACCTTTATCAATCTCCAGTGAGAAAATTTACATGGTCATGTTCATGGGTTGATAACAAGTTCATCAGTTTATATTCTCTGATAAAATTGAAAATGATAAGAAATGCTCCTTTTATTCTCTACCATCCTTTAGAGCATCTAGAGCAAATTGTTCCTTCATTTTCGACTTCTGGAAGTTCCTTCAAATTATCCCCCTACCCTCCACAACTCCATAATAGCAGTATTAGGTATGCTCCTAAGCAAACAGAACTCTACTCATTTCCCCAAGCCCAAGAAACATTCATCCCAACATGCATCCTTTTCTTTTACAAGAAATTTTTATGATAATGGGGGAGGGGGGCCCACAAAAACCACCCAGAAAGGCACTAAACCAAATCAGGATGTTTTTCATTAACTACTTTCTTGATGAAGCTACCAGAAGGTCAACCTCAGGCCATATAATGTGCGCCAAATTCGAGAAGCTATGTTAGCCAAAGTAACATGACACAATCTTCCCTCCAATAAACGGTTTAGGATCAAACTAGCATCTGGCCAAAGACTTTAAGAACAAGATCATTGCCTAGGCTTCTCATGTTATGCTTGAACCGCCACACTAATAAATTAAGTACCAAACTATCTTGTCAGCAATTTCTTGGCAGTTTAATTTGTTCAATCAACCCCTCAAAGCATGACAGGGGAAAATACCCCAAGACTCAACTTTTCATAGTCATAAAAAAGAACATGCAATGGCTTTTCATCCTTCCACTATGCAATGGCAGAAATGACTTGGCCTGCAGTAATAAATCCGTTCACAAGATCATATTCAAATGGTTTTCTGAGATAACAATCAATCTACAAAACAGTAGCCCCCCAAAAAAATTGGTTCACATAAATAAATTTGAAATAAGGAAGTAGCTTACTCAGGGATAACATCAAATAAAATTCATTCAAACATTACAACTTTCCCAGTTCAGACGGTCAGGATTTTTGCAACCACCTGGAGCTCTGACCTATCTTGGAACTGTTTGGACTGTGAACAGTAAAGAACTTATTTTGAAACCAAACTGAAACCAGGCTGAAACACTAAAACACTACACCTCTTCAATATGATAGAGACAGTCAATAGAACTATATAAACTAAAAAATCCTCACTGCAAATTTTTTTTAAAGACAAGAACTGCCTAATCTTAAATCAAAGGAGGGGGGGGGGGAGCTCCCTGTTCTAGTTATAGGCTATAAAACCATAGAGTGCTTGAACGGGACTGAGGATGTTTGTGTGTATGTGGAGTGGGGACATGAGTCGGCTAGTGTATGTGCATAGATGTGAATGAGCTCATGCATGCGTAAGGGCATGCAATTGTGTGTATCCAAACAAATAAACAGACAAATAAATGTCTGGCATACATTTGCACACACACAGCTGGGTTAAGGCCCACACAGTTCCAAGCTACTGACCCAAGTTGATGTCCACAAATCTAGACTTGCGCATGTGGGACAAAGAAAGAAAGACTTGATCTTCTTCACCAGTCTCTGCGAGTAATTCTCCTTCACAGTTATCGCTAGGTAAAAGAGTACAAGACGGCCATGGTAGAGTACATACACAGAGTACAAAGAGAGACCCAGGAGTGCTTCCACTGTACTGAATGCTGCCACATGGATTACAACATTCCTCACATTCCAATCACATTTAGCTTTGCATACCACAGGAAAGAGAGGTACAGGTTTACAAAAATAGTTCTTATAACTTCAGGTACATTGTTGCATTCCGTAACGTTCCCATTCCTTTTCAATCAAAATGTGCCCCATCCATCTTACATCAACAAAACCAAACAATCAATCCTGGGTGGATCATTTCTTGTAGGGAGAGATTCAAAACAATGGGAGCCATAAAACAAATGTATACCAGTGTATTTCCACGGTGTTACTGTGTCTGATCTCATGTGAAATTCATACTCCTTCTGCAGTAAGACTTTAATGTATGTATGGAAATGGAGCATATCACAAGTTGGGAGTTGGTAAAGCACATTATTACAATTTTTCTCAGCACCTTTACCTCAATGGTCACATGGTTGAGGTCATTGATGTGGTATTCAAACTAATCTCATATTACAGGAAAATAACAACAATTATATCAACATTAATTTTGCGGTAGGAAGTATGACACAAGAGAACTTGCATTATACAATCAACAACAAATCACAAATATATACACACACTTACACATATACATATATAAGTATACATATTTATATATATATATAATCTTTTTATAAATCTACATGCAAACGGTGCACTGAGAGGCACTCTAGGTGTGCAACTGAAGGTCGTGGGTCAATGCACCCATTCACGCTGCTCTGATATGAGCGACTTCTTTGTTCTTCCTTCACAATTACCCAGTTTCTGCAACCAACCCCCCCCCCCAAAAAAAAAACAACAAACAAACAAACAAACAGTACATCAGTTATTCTCAGTGTTGTTTTCTGAAGATGCACAGGTAAACAAACAAATAGAAAGTATTGTCAGATCATTTGTCTACGCATGCCCTTAGGAATGAGAGGGCCTGCCTGGTCTCCTTCAGGCAGCAGCAAACTTCCAGTCTCCAAACATTTCCACTTAAGTTGTTTTATTTTTGGTTAGCAATCAGAAAGACGCTTCAAAGGAAATCAAACACTGAAAGCTATTGTGACCAAGATAAGCAAAAAAAAAGGGGACTTCTTTCAACAGAAATAAACAAAAAGAGCTCTTCCTAATTCGGCGCTCTTAGAAATGTCCAATAGTCCAACATATATGAACATTCAGTGAAACAGCTTCACAGCAGTTTGAACCAAAAAAATGTTCAAATACGAGAGCAATAAATCTACTTGACAAATAAGGAGAAGTGGAATCCGAAACAGAAGATGTCATTATCCTTTTTCAAATGTACATCCTAGGGAGTGCATAGTGTAAATAAATCAGATCGGCAAAATAGTCAAAACTCATCTCATCCTATAGGACCAAAAAGCAAGTGCTGGTACTGTTTAAGCCTAATTCACTGAAAATATCTTTTAAGCTCTGCAGAACAGAGTGGGTGTAAGTACCTAATCACAGAAGCATATGATTTTAACAATCATCTATAACATTTTAAGTCTAACTCCAATCACAATTTGCAACAGTTGGTTTTCTAGATCTGCCACTTTAACTGTGGGGAGAACAACACATTTTACAAACAAAACAAAACACAAGAGCTTGCAGTACTTTTAACACTATCACCGGAAAAGTTTCAACTGTCTTAAAAAGAAAAATAACAAAGCGAAGAGAACTCTGCATTCCTTCCCCCATTCTTCTGAGCATAATAGTGATAACAGTGATAAAGCCCTCTCTAACTAGGATGTGATAAGCCGGGAAAAAAAACTATTTTTAAGAAACAAGATTTTTTTTCCAAGGCGACATTTCACCCTAATGATTGAAAGAAAGAAAAAGAAGTAGAAGGAAAACAAAAAATAGAAGGAAAGAGGTGGCCGACTTTTAAACTCACTGCATTATACCAAAGCTCAAGGACTACAGAAACCATTTAAATAAATCATCTTGTTTACCTTTGTGTCAGCTGAACAGTCAAATAATTGACACAATTTTGATACTCTTAGAAAGTTATTAACTTCATCCAGTGTAAAACTGCAGTTCTACTACTAGTCATTGTAAAAAAAAATACACATTTACAGAGATCATCAATACAACATTGGGATATACTGCCCTATACTTCAAGGGAAACACAATGCAAACCAGCACAAAGAGGACATATATTGTAAGACCCTCCACTCTATAATAAAACACTTGCCAACCCCATATATTAGTTTGCCCTTGTAATCTTTTCAATAGTGACATTTCCATGTAACACATGGTGTACTCCCATTCACTTGTAAATTAATTGAATTCAGATAACCTGCTAACCCCTGTAAAGTCTGCCCTTACTCTCTGTTCAGCTGTGACATGTAAAACAAAAACTTGCTAATTAATTTAACAAATACACATTTAAAACACAACATGTAACACATGGTGAAAAATTATTTGATCACTCATTAACGTAATTCAGACACAAAAACACAACAATATACATGAAACATGTGCCATAAGTCTTGACCCAGACCAAAAGAAAACTGAAAACTTGGCATGCATCTTGCTACACCTTAACCAAAGGAGCTTGGGGGAAAAAATTACAAGAACCTCAAGCAGCTTTAGTAAAACTGAGCACCCCATAGAATAGAACATTTACTTGTTTGATTGATGAGAAGCAGGGGCACATTGATGCAAACAAGGTCATTTTGAAAAAGCAAGAGGATAGACAGAAATGACAGAAGGATAGCAACAACAATAATACACACAAGTTTCAAAATTTAAAAAGTAACCACACTCGAGATCAAATATCACATTTTTTAAGTTTGCAAGTGAAACAAAGACCAAAATGGGACCCGTATTTTTTAAGTTTGCCAACCTCATACAAAAAGAATAACTCTGAAAGAATCTAGAAGTAGACAGTGGACAAAATTAGAGGCTGCACATAACATCACAATGAAAACAAGAATCATCAACAAATATTTACACTGACTGTTATTATGGTAGCTGTGGGAGTCAACAAAGTAGAAATTTTCCTCAAAATCCACAGAAAGAAATTCCTTAGAAATATTCCTTTTTCCCCAAGCACCACAACTTCCTATGCCATTTCTGAAAAAAAAAAGCATGGGAATATTACGAACATTAACATCTTTTTTAAAAACTCTGGAAGGCTTGAAAAAAGTTGACCAGACTTCAAAACAGCATTTTAAGTTCTAATTCAAACATTCCAAATATGCAGTTGGAAACTTTTCTATCTTTCCTCCATTCTTTGGCTTACACCCATTAATCCCTTCACTGCCATACTGACTTACCTTGTATGGCATGAAATTGCACAATTTTCCACATCTCGATGTAACTTGAAATGCAAAAATACTCCGTATCGAAAGGGTTGATGGTGAAAAAATCTCACACAAAAACAAAGATCATGGTCATACATTTGATTCTTCTACTTGCTTTAAATGTCATAGAAAACAATTGTGACCTTATAAAGAAACCAACAGGGTCAGGAAAGTGACTTAGCTTTGAAATTTATTTCTCCAAAATAATCTTTCTTCATCAAAAGACTTTTAACAATCAAATCATCAATAAAAATGCAACAGTATCTGTACTGCTTTACTCATTTACGATCTCCGGATAGGACTTTTTCTGCCATTTCCCAACATCAACATAAAAAGAATATCTAATTTGACACTGAGGACAAATCTCAGCTATCTGCTATAAAAGTACGGTGCAAAGGGAAAATAAGGTACTCCCACAGAACCAATAATGTTCTACGTTTAAGAGTACAATAAACATTTACAACAAGAGATGGCATTGGCACCCCTACAAACTTAAAAAATACCACCGAAATAAAATATTTAAAACATTTACAATACAAACAATTTAAGGTTAAAAAGCTTTCCCTTTCCTCTAAATTTTCCTTCATTATCAGGGTAAAGGTAAAGACTTATGGCACACCCTCCGAGCAGAAAAGTCTTTCATGTTTCGACCCCATTGCAACACACGAACAAAACTCTGCACCGAGTTCATACTAAACAGGCAATACAATTTTCATTCTTAACAAAGCAACTCACAGGTTGAGTTTTCGGATAAAGAAAACCACAGAGCGAAGCAAATGGGTTCGTCTAGCGTCAGTCATTCAAAAAAACAGGGACTGCATCTGCTGACATGCCTGGTTTAACAAAAAGAATTATAAGAATCACATATGATTTCTCTGGAGATCCAGAGGCTGCCATAGGGAAGGAGGACCCAACTAGTTCTTCACCACTCGGGATAAAAAAAGGGCGTCCTGTAAGTTTTTTAATAGCCTACCTAAACAATGACAACAAAGTTCCCACACAACATACATGACATGGAGACTGCAGGTGACCTTCTGCACAATTCAGCCAACATCAGACAGAAATACAAAAACACACAAACATACACACATACGCAAACATACATCAACACTTCTCGAACACCACAATTCTTAGGGTATGCTATCCTTCACAAATTATCAAAATTTGTAAATATCATTGGTAATATGTATATACACCGCACATTAACATTAAAAATCAAGATAAAAATATCACTAGTGAATTGAATTAAACTGATAATCAACAATTATGGACAGTAACAGTGCAGCATCGTCAATGCCCCTGTGAGAGCTGGGCAGACTGAAGGGAGAGCATGCTCCATGCTTTTGTACACCTGTTCAACACGTAAGGAAAAAACAAAAAGCCTAATAGAATGGATAATGGGTGATGGCTGAAGATGAGTGGGTAAGAACAAGACAGTAGCGATCAGAAAGAAAAAGAATGTATGAAGTGAAATTATACATCCATAATAGGTATACAGTAGTACTAATAACAGTTACAAAGAAGAAGAAGACTTTTTTTTATATAAACACCAAACACCGCACAAGGTGTGGCTGGCTACAGCAACCCTGCGAAGTTGAGCCAGACCACACAACCAAGGGCCTCGGATCAAAGGCAAGATACTCCCGAGTCACTGGAAAAGTTGGGACTATAATCCAAATTGCCGTCGCTGGCCACACTTTCATCACTGCAACGATCTTCTCCGTCACTCTGGAAGCCTCCGATGATGTCAATCTCATCTGTGGAAGCAGACACAAACCATGGGAGTATGAAATATTTTGCTTTTTTAACCCTTTGAGCCCTTGTCACCGGTATAATGGTAGAGTGTAATACTGCATGTATGCCTAGCCACAGGTACACCGATGGCCTAGGACAAAACATGGGTATGAAAAACTGTATACTACACAAGGCGTTATCGATTATATTGAAAATCTTTCTGAATTAGATGCTGGTCATGAAAAGGACTACCCTGAGTGGGATGTGGAATGTGATTTTGATGATCATATGAATGTTAGCAATGTATCGCTCAGGAGCTAGGGCTGAGAGGCACGATAGCCTCAAGGGGTCAGGGTTCAAAGTGTTAGTGAGCTTTTAACTCTTTGGACCCGTAACACCAGTATAATGATGGTGCACGGGCAACAATAATCTGTAGCACCTATTCATCAGTGTGTAAGGAAAGAGTGCTTAATTGTCTGGCAATAAAAGGCAGTCATTTTCAATCAATCAGAATGCTAGTTTCTTTCAACATATTATTATGGGATGCCAACATGTCTGCACCCTTTCACACATGTTTTGATCACATTCTGCGCCAATTTACTAATTTTGTTGTTTTTTTTTCGAAGTGAAGCGCTCTCTCCCTCAACCCCAAAGCTCATTAGGCCAGGATTTGGGTAAAATTAAAATCAGGAGATGAGGGCTCAAACGGTGTAACAACCAAAAATTAGTAATAATTAGTACTAATTAGTAAGAAAGTTTATTCAGTGTTTAAGGCCATTGGCTCACATCACATCGCACAAAAAAAATTCATTTTATAAATAATGCTTCCATAATGAATAGGTAAAGGTTGTGCACATATCTCTTATCATGAGTCAAACATTGCATATTTCTGTCACTGGGCTGAGTCAGGCTGCGAGGAATTAACAATTTCCTTTGATGGACAAAGTGTGAACAATAAGTGAAATTCATCTTCAATTTCATGAGGGTTACACCTCTCACATAAGAGCGAATTAGTTAATTTCCACCGATAGAGATTGTTATTTAGTGGAAGGCTATGAGTTTTTAACAAAGCTAAGACTCTTCTGTTCCAATACCACGGGAAGTTGGTGATATATTCAGCTGTTTCTTGAAACGGAATTGTAAGAGAATAAATTACACTTGCGACAGACTTCTTCCTCTATGTTCCACACAAAATGATCAACAAATCTACTTTTTACTTCACTGAGAAAGAGTCTAGTGCTTCCAACATTTTGAGAAAACCAGGCACATCCAAAACCCAGGGAAAATAATAGGTTTTTAACTTCCGTAGCCCAGTTGACTCTGCCCAGTTCACAGGAAAAATATAATTGCATGTAACATTTCTTTGAATATCTGTCATTTTCTAAGGGTTTAATTCTGCACCAGAATTTAATGACACAAAGCATGTAATCAGAACATAAGTTGGTTCTTCCCACTTCTCTTAGAACTTAACATTTGTGTGTAGTTTTGCCAAGACCCAAAAAGGCTTTCCAGAACTTTACCTGAACATTATCAATCACGTCCCAATTTTTGGAACCCCAAATTTCAGAGCCATAAAGCAGCATTGGTTTAATGTTTATATCAAAAATGTTTTTTGCTGTTTCAAAATTTAATTCTTGGTAAGAACCGAAAAGCCTTCTTGTTCGAGAAACAATCCGTTGAGCTTTACAAGCCCGATCCTCCAGCGTTCATCTCCAGCAACCAAAAAAGAAACCCAGAAAGCTGCATTTGACCAAAACCACTTCTTTGTCATCTTCAATGCAATCCATCAATGGAAATAATAAAAATGCAATTAATTGTTGTTTACAAAGCTTGATATCAACTTCCTCTCCACAGAGCAATAAGGCTTCACCACTCACACCAGCATTATTAGGATTTTGTAACAGGTCTGAATAGTTGAGGAATTCATAAATGTACCCTTTTACAGAAATACATCATAGCCACTGCAACCCTTAAATCTTCAAAAACTTTTTAACCAGCTGAAGCAAACACTGCATGCGCATTGCCACCGGAAGTTCTAAATAGCAGTAGCCAGGGCTCATTCACAGCAGGACATGTCTATTCTCATAAACATTTGCTTATATATAATAATTAATTATCAATTGCAGCTTAAAATCTTAAAAATACATGCAAACATACCAGATTCCTCTGATTTCACAGATGAGGTAGATGATATTGAAGAATAAGATGAATTGGTTGAGGTGCTGCATTCGCTGATGCTACGCTCCTGGCGAACACGATAAAGGCTGTGGCTGCTAAACCTACTCATCTGCTCCAGTCTGCACTGCAACTGGTTGTTCTCACGCTCGAGCTGGTCTCGCATGATCAACGCTTTGCGTTCCTTTTCTTCTAAATTCTGAGGAAACCAAAGGCACCCGACATTTTACAATCTGAATAATACTAAAAAGGACTTTGAAGCAACACTGCAAGCTGTTCTAAAGAGAATTTTAATAAAAATCATGGAAACTAATTAGAGGCTGGATGTGGTTGTTGTTATTGTTAGCACTTTAGCACATACAGAACTTGCGCCCTTCACCTTGAACTAAGTGAAAGGTTTTAAAGATACTTCTCTTTTGGTGTACAGGGAGGTTTTTTTACTGTAAGAAGCTAGTAGTCAAAGTTTTTCAAAGTCAACCCAACTGAAGTATTGAAAGGGCAAAAGTTGGACAATTTCCAAAGGGTTATCAGAGAAAGCACATCGCTAATTTTTCTGGGTTTACTCTCCTGAGGTGGGCAGCTCAGATACCTGTTTCCGGGCAGAAAGTTCCAACTTGGACTCTGCCCTCATGGATTTTCATACCGTTTTTATGCTTGACAAGTTCATGCAGTTCAAATAGGGTCTTCAAGTGTACTCCCTTGTTCATATACTTTATTCATTTAACTAGCAACCAGTCTCTCCCATAACTAGGGCTGGCATTCTTTCCCTCATGATTAATGGGATCAGCTGAGGCTTGTGTAACCCTACCCTGACATTAAAAAAGTATTCATTTATTTTTCAACCCTTAAAAACTACAAAGTAAAACACATATAGAAAACAAAACATTGACCTGACTTTCCTTTTTACAAAGAGAGAATCAAAACATACTATGGTCTTTTATCAAATTATCAACAAATAGAAATTCTAGCAATGCACAATGTATTTATTTACACATGCATAGTTTTGTGACTGTTCAAAAGAATATGAGAGCAACACTCTTCTTACCTTAATAAATGCTCTAGCTTTCGTTAAAAGTCCTAAAGTAGTGTGACGAGAGGAATCAACACCAAGGGGAACAAGGTCTTTCAATCTCTCCAGACAACGTCTCAAATGAGCTCTCCTGTTCACAAAAACATTAAACAAGAATTGAATTAGTAACCACAATAAGTGTGTTCCTGAACTGTGTCTTGACAGTGTATTATAAACTGATTCCTTAAAAAAAAAAATTTCCATAAAAAGGTCTTCCAGAGTGTCATCTTTAATCAGGGAAATGACATTAACACTTTGCAGTCACACAACCAGCAGAACAAAATACCCCATCTGCTCACCCAGCCAGGAGAGTGACTGCAATCGACTTCTTGGGCCTGCCGCAGAACTGCGCCGAGTGACCAGAACGGATCATTTTCACCGGCATATTATTGCGCTGTGTGACCGCAAAGTGTTAACAAAGAGAAGGACAGACTAAGCAATCACCAAACCTGTCCATTCCTTGACAAGCAAATTCAGAAAAAATTCTCAAAATGATTCCTCTAAAAAGCTTAGTTGGGAGGAAAAAATAGTCAGGACAAAACAATGGAAGAAGGGGCTTCAAGCACCTAAATATTTTGGAAAAATATGTGTTTACAGAGATTTAAAAATATGCACTTTTGACACATTTCTGTCGAGGAATTCAGGGAAGACTATGCAGACTCAAAGGTATGGGTATGGTAAGAGTAGAGGGGTCAACCGCAAAGAACAAGATCGAGAGAGGAAAAGGAAAAAAAAAAAAAAAGGAAGTAGTCCCTGAAATGCTGAGGATCCTTGCATTGTTTGACAGTAAAATTGACCAGGGTGTTTCAAATGGTGAAAAATCAGAGTAAAACCTTATAGTATCATGGTGCTTGGCTGGTCTCAATTGTACACAAATGCTATATTTTTCTCCCTAGCTTATCCACATACATAAAAGAAAGTCAATTCAATATCCAGCGTTTTTCAGACACATAAAAACTCTATAGTCTTCTAAAACAAGAGACTCTGCTTCAGATATTAACATCTTTTTCGACAGAACTGTTACGATAAAGAGCTTGGCTTTCTAGGTAAGATTTACAAAGAAAAAAAATGCTTATCAGGCCTGCCATACCCCACAGCGATCAAAAAGGGATACAAAATTTAAAGCTATACCCTATACACATTCACATTTTAAACATAGGCACAGACAGTAACCAGCTTCCTTAGTTTTAGTTTTAGTAGTCCAGGAGTTCTACAGCACTTGGAACACAATAAGGTCATATAAGTGCCGAAGATTAGAGGTGTTACAACAGAGTAACAAACACAAAAAAGAACGAGGGAAGACAGAGATGATAGAATTTTCATTGGAGAGAAGGAGCAAACCACACCAGAGCACCCGCCAACCACCCACCAGCTTCCTTAATAAGTTGTAAAAATTACTGGAAGGAGTATTAAGAAAGCAATAATGACTCACAAACCTACCTGTTTTTCTCCAGCTCATTGTGAGTAGATCTAAAAAAAGAATTAAAAGAAAAAATTGTTAATTTAAACCGGCAATATCATACCTTCAATTTTCGCCACAAAATGTGTTTAGTTACAGAATACAATACAACATAGTCATACCCACGAAAAAGTTTGAGCAGAAGACTATTTTAGTATGAATAATAAAGAACACGATGTAATGATGTTCACCTTTCCATTTAGAAGAATATTGCGCTTTAAAAGAAAAAAAAATTTTGTACAAAACAATAAGAAAAACAACGTTAGCATTTAACTCAAAACATTACTTTTTCTGAGCAAAATATTGCTCTACCCCTCTTTCAAATTCATAACTTCAGTTCAGTTGTTGTTTATTATCCTTTTATAAAATAACAAGGTATTCCCATTATTTGCATTTCTTCATTTTACGATAACGCAGTCTTAACTTTCATCTTTACAATAAAAATTATTAACATCAGTCCGAATAAATAAAAAAGATGCTCTTTTCGTTTTTTTGAGAAGACAATATCACCATACCTGTTGCCTTGACCCTTTTTCGATTTTGATCTTCTTTTCGATGGATTGTAACTGTATTCTTCTGGCATAGGCAACGTTGATGCATAACCATGTTCAGCTTCTGTCACAAGGGAAAATATAAAGAAAAATGATTACAAAAATCATCAAAACAGCTCATATGACCTTAAGCAGTTGCGAGCGCCGTAAAACCCTCTACTATAGAAAAAAAATAAAAATAAAACTTTTTTTTTTGCAGTTGTTTTTTACATTATAGCTGGGTTGTAAATAAGAATGGAAAGGTAAAAGCATTGATAAACCAGCAATCATCATCATCCTCATCAGAATTGAATAAAAAATCTTACTGCACACCTTAGTTCCCCCCCCCCCCCCCCAAGAATTTATTAAAATTTTTTCGCCCCTCTTTTTTCCCCCCCCCCCCCCCAAGAATTTATTTTTGCATACCATCCACTAGACTATCAACTCTATTCAAACCTTACTTCTGGTTTGTTTACATTTGGCTGAAAAATACTGTTCTTCACTTCTGATACTCACATGGCATCATTGTAATCTTACATAAAATTAACCTGATTTCTTTCCCTCGTCTATGAAGATATCGATAAATTCAGTTCCCTCTGCCAAAAGTGACATACACCTGAGAAAGTTTTTGAGCTTCAACATGATGGAAAAAAATCCCTAGTTTTAGCCTATTTCAAACTTATAATTTATGCAGTATCTAACTTTTAGTTTCAGCAGGTTTGCTCCTTCTCTCAAAATGTAAACAAACCAGAAAAAAAGTTTGAACAATAGAGTTGATAGTCTAGTGGCTGAGGATATGCAAAAAGAAATTATTGGGGGGGGGGGAGCTAAGGTGTGCAGTAAGATTTTTTATTCAATTCTGATGAGGATGATGATGATTGCTGGTTTATCAATGCTTTTACCTTTCCATTCTTGTTTCAACCTGGGTACTAACAGAAATTGTCAAAAACCTGCTTGGCAAACTCTACGACTCAAAGGCTCACAACTTCCCACAGATAAGAATTTGAATGGGTAAGAGTAAAGTATATAACCCCCCTGTCTTCATGCACCAGTAAGACAAGACATAGCTGCAACTCCACTGTGACCCCCCCCCCCCCCACCATGTTGCTCTTTGTTTCAAGCAGTTCAAAATAAGACATTTATCTATACTTTACAGTAGTCTCCGTCTAAGGGCAAGCCACACTAAAGCACGCTCTGCTCAAATGCACGCTTTCGTCATATGACGTTTTTTTCTATATAACTGAGACGTACAAGTGCATGCATGGTCACTTCTTCTGAAAGAATGCATCGATCCACAAAACATGCCCACAGGTTAAGTTTGACAAGGGGAAATTTTGGCTACAGCCTGCACAGCTTGCATAAAAGACAAGTCTAGACAACTGTCGGTGAGACTGCTCCACAGGCAGAACAAAGAGAGTGGTGGACAGCGTTTTCACACCCAACTGTCCACGGACACATAGAGGTCTATGACTGGTCGGGTGATATGTTGGAGTGGGGAGACTGACGTTTTTTTATTGGTCACTCAAAATGCATCTTTGAGAGAAAGTTTCTGACTGGTACTTGAGTGACAGCATGTAATGTTGAGTTAGGCCTATGATGCACAACACACGTAAATGCTGTAGAAAACTAGAGAGGCCTCTATAGGGTGAAAGATTAGTCATGTGATAAGCTGTCAATGACTGTCAACCATGCATTTACCAAGTTGCAATAGATGACAGGCAGTCAGGAGAGGTCGCTTAGAAACCACCTGGCTGAGCGCTTGTCCCTATAATTATTACCAACAGTTTCCTCTTATCTGTTCCCGACATTTTATAGAGCATCAGTACAGTGAGCCCGTCTTTCTGCTCCCCCCCCCCCTCTCCAAACCCATTGACGCCTTTGTCTTTATAATTTTAACTGTAGTCAGGGAATCCTTCACCAAACAGTCACCTGTCGTCACAATATTATTAGCCAAAGTGACCCCCTCCCTCATGGGATGTCACTAAAATGTCTAGGAAATAAGACGATTCACGTGTCCCTTCCTCCCTCTGCATACGTTCATGTAAACGCATGCTCCGTATTAACACATAGTAAGGAGCCCTCCCAAGCACTGTGGAGACTAATACCTTATATAATAACGAAGTGTATACAGACCCAGTAACCGGGAACAAAGTCACAAAGTATACAGACCCGGTAGGGGAACTCTTTTGTGATTTCGGAAAGTTTCAGCGCCCAGACCCGGTAGTGTGTCACGTGTGTAGACAAGGGGTGGGGGGTGGTGGTACAGAAATAGAGAGGGTGACTGCTCGATTGAAATTATGACATTGTTCTTTTCTTCAAATTGTGATTCCTCCAACTCCAAGACGGAGGAAAAATGAATCGTTCATCGAAAAGACATCCGCAATTTTCATTTAGATCTAGATCTAGGCTAGCCTCAAAACTAGATCAATGATTTATGTCTGTTGTCCAGATCTAGACCTAGGCCATAGATCTAGAAGAGCCTTGGTAGTGTACATCTATATGGTCTACCCTGAGCCAAGAGGGCGGTGAAACTTTCCGAAATCGTAAAAGAGTTCCCCTACCGGGTCTTTATACTTTGTGACTTTGTACCCGGTTACCGGGTCTGTATACACTCCCATATATATAATCATTGAATATATCACAACAGTACCAATCAATTTTCTTTCACCCAAAATACTAGACTACTTTAAAAAGAAAAACAGCATGTATCATAAAGACGGCTTCTAGGCTAGTAACACAAATGTCTGACCAATAATGCATTTCATTAATTGTAATACAAAAATGAATAGAAAGGTGTTTGTCAAGGTGCAGGGGATTTCTAAATTCTAAAGCCCACTAGATTCTACATGTACAACACAAATTGAAACCATCATCATAAAGTCAAAGTGAAATCTCAGCAGTTTTCTCCAAACATACTAAAACTCAAGCCCACAACTGAGCTCAACCCAAAGGTTTGCTTTTCTACCTGCACAGCTTCAAGGCATTCAATGAACCCCATGGCCCATAGCCATAACCAGCCCAGCTATCATTTTACAGTGACAGATCAAGCTGCAGTTGAGTAGTAGATCTAGAAAACTAGATCTAGATTCTATGTCTAAATCTAGCCTACATGAAAAACTAAAGTGTGTAGATCTACTCATAATTAAACTCAAAGGTGGATAGACTAAAATAGATCTACTCCTTGAAAAAAATAGGCACTTTGAAGACCCAAAATATACTAGACTCTACACTTCAGTCAGGTTACTAATTTCTACCACAAGAACTGACTGCAACTTGGCCTACTGCAAGAGCACTTCCCCTCCACTGGATTGTGATGATCTGGGCAACTGCATCAGCCAGCCCAGCTGGTACGGCAAAAAAGGGGTCATGACCAATGACATGCCTCCCAGTGCTTCGAGGAGGTCATGCATTCGTTCTTCATCAAAATAATTATTATAATATGAGTCAACTCATTTTTTTTCTACAAAAAAGTATGTAAATGATTGCCATATTTGAAAAAACATGCGAAATTTATCAAGTAACGGCCCCGTGAGTGAGCAAATGGTTGAAGGCCAAAGCAAATGCAAGGCCACAACTCTGCACAAGTCAACACTTCGACACGGAAGGGAGGGCATAACATTCTGGGGTAATCGGGAAGGGTAGGGGTGTGACTGTAACCAGCCGATTTCAACACAATCATACACATTTCTGGTCATATTTAGGTCCAAAGCTAGTGAAGTAGATAATATGCAAAATATTTTAGGCAATAAAAACAATATAAACCCCAGTGACCACGAAACTGTCACGAATAAGTGTTCCCTGACGTGGCAGGGTGGGGGTGTGAACGAGTAGTTTGAAAATGGCTCTATTTACAGAAGTGTGAATCTACCTCTTTCACGCCGTTCGATGAACTCAGCTGCCTGCAGAAGTTGAGTAATGTTGTACATGATAAATTGAAGTAAAAAATACTAGAAACAGGCAAGATTGGTCGCTAATTTCTTCTGAATCACGGCTTCACTTCTTGTCACTGAGGTCCGAACGAAATGGCAACAACCGACCTGCTGATGTTTACAAAATTGTCGGCCTTCGATTGGTCACCGAATTCCGCCCCGACCAATGAGTGAGCTTGTTACATCTAAGCTTGGTTATGCTTCACACGTGATGTGAATTGTAAGCAGCTATGCTAGCTACAACAACAATTTCTGGTGCTGACGATCGTGCACACAGGAAAATTGGGCCAGCGCCCTCTTTTTTCTTTTCAATTATTTAATTTTAGTTCTTCAAGATCAATGTCATAAGTCAGCAATTTTCGACAGAATGCGTGGCTCAGTAACGACTTGCACATAAAAAAAAGATTAATAGCTTGGTCACTCGTGGTTCGCTGAATATTACTTTGTTATTGATCACTCTGCAGTCTTGGATTGGTGCCAATAAACTTAAATCGAACATTGCCTGCACGTTACCCAGCATGCGCTTTTCTGTTTACTAACAAGCTCAGTGGAGACGTGGGGAATGCGTTGTTGAGTACCACTGATCAATAGTTCCACACGGAAAGCTGACAAGTTGGCTTCTACTCATTTAATTCTCGACCAGTCCTAATAAGACCCCTCTGTGCGTGTTTGGAAGAGAATACGAGAGTGGGTGTGTTACGTAATTTCTCACTGGGCTTATTTTATTTTATTGGAGAAGTATGACAGCAAGAGAATGCGTGACCTACAAATTATATTCATCGAATCTGAATACTTGAAAGCAGGCAGCCAAGGGTCACCTGAGGCACTGTAACAGTGCGCTACAGTCAAGTACAAAGTATGCTACGTGTCATAGTGACAGTCTAGTCCCTGTGTCCACGGCACACCGGGTAGCCTACCCACTACCCAGTCAGCTGTGAAATGGCAAGTTGCCAAGATCGGTGGCCGCAAAATCACCCCGTGCGTGCTGTCATCATCGTCAGCCGGTTCAGCGGTATATTTAGACCTAGCTATCGGGACCCGCACCCATGTACTCTCCCCTGTTTCCTCTATGTCATCTTAGTAGAGGGATATCCTTGTGTATTGTATTTGTACGGCGCATGCATGTGCACGCACACGTAGAGACGCAAGAGCGAGCGCAAGCCATAGTGGGGGAGGGGGAGAGAGAGAGACCATAGAAACAGATGAAGCGCACGGCCCAACGCGAAAGTTCTTGTCCTAGTCCTACGCATGACGTCTGCTTGATAAAAATTAACAGTTAGATCTAACAGTAACTAACTACATAATAAAATATTATATATGTCTGTATTACATAGATCTAGATCTATGACGTCAGGCCACCTGTACGTATGCACTTTTTAAAAATCCGACCAATAGACCTGGGTGAAGTCAATAGTTTCCATGCTGGGCTTTGGCCGATTTGGTGTTGTTTGGGTTTGGGTTTTTTTAATTTTACCTTACTTTTTTTATTTTAGCCGGGGGTGGGGGTAGGCCTATAATATATATCATATATGTAGGGGTGGATTTCAGAAGTGTTGCCTGTGTGTTAATAGGCCTATATAATAATATTGTTAGCCTATGTAGCCTACGTTTGGAGGGGAGATCAGAGGGCGGACATATTTGCATGGTGGTAAAATAGAACAATAGGTCTATAGGGCGTAGCCGAAGCATTGACGACGTCAGCACGCTGGGTAGGCTTACAGTGCTAGCTACGTACCCCCAACGACCAGTAGCACTATCACCTCTATTTATTAAGGTCGAAATGTGTATGTCTACTCCTCCAACCATACCCCACTCTCAACCGGACCCGAAGGCCTGTTTATTAATTAATATTATTTTTATAGCATCAATGTAATGTAACAGCGAACGTTGCAAAAATATCTGAGTC